AGGCGGCCAAACAACGCTGGACGGCCATGGCGTCGTTTGGATTGCACGAAGGGTTACACATGCAGCACAGCTGGTGGGGATGATACCCAGAGCATCCATGTATAGTTTTGTGTGGAGTATGGTTTCGTTTATGACCCTAAGAATGTATAGTATATATAACTATGTATTTCACACTACATGTTCAATACTATCATACATTGGGAGTGTCTGGGATAGGACACGAGAGCTCCTCTTTGACACACGACACTGCGCACTTACAGCGAGTCTGTGTCAAAGCGCTCCACCATGTCCATCCCAGAGTTGACAGAACATCCGGACTTCAAGGACCCGGGTTCGTCACTTGGACCTGAACATGACAAAGTCATCCCTGGTGGATCAAAAGTCTACAGATCCAGTCTGACCCAGATCCAAACCTGATCCTGAAAACTTCATTGAGTATACCTAGCACTTCCTCTGGGTGCCCTGGAGTAGGAGACCTGTTTACGTAGGGTAGTCGAACGCCAGGGCACCCATGTCCAGGATGATCCTGGTATCATTAGTGTTTGTGTATGATCAACTCCAATAAAACCAGCTCAAACTGACCTCTCAGGGTCTGAAAGTTCCACACTCCCGCTGCGTCAGTCAGGCGCTCGACCGGCGCGCCGCTCGCCCGGCGCGCTCAACCGGCGCTCACCCCGACAGTCGTCGGCCGTTCCTCCGTGGAGTCGCGGATCACTTCCACCGCCAGCTTTCGGTAGTCAATGCCAGGAGCCGCCCGGCAGGTGCTCAGTCCGCGTACGCGGATCCCTCCCCGCGCGGCCGCAGCCGTGGGAACTCGTGCGCGGGCACGGAGGGGCTTTCTCATGGCTTGCATACTGCACAGCCACTGAAAAGCGTTTGCAGGTGGATGGGAAGTGACTATGAAGAGCAAGCGATTTTTAACATGTTTCATTTCCTGAGAAAACCTGGTTAAGAGGCCAAAATCTGGGTCAACATGGCCTCATTGACCTCTGTTTTGCTTGGAACCTGCTGCCCAGTTGAGGGAAATCACTGAAATCACCACACCTTTGGATGCCGTCACCGTCATTTCGTGGAAGGTCTGCGCATCCCCCAAGAAACCAAAAAACCAGGGGCAAGGTGGAGAATCTCTTCGGGAAGTTGCCACTTTTGGAGATCGAAAAGCCAAGAAAATGATTCAAAATGACTCAGCGCTAGCTGCGCAGCAATCAAATCAACTACCCTGCTTTCTGCTCTTCATGCTTTGACAACAGTTGATCGTACTGTCTGTGAGATGAAATTGAAGATCCCTCCATCGAACGCCGTGAAAGCCTGCGAATCTACTTCCGTCAATGCGTTCCATGTCCCCTTCTCCTGTGCCTTGCTGGGCCAGAACAGCCGATGGCACATGCAAAATAATCAAAAGTATCTGTCAGCCTTGATGCAGAACAACCCATGAACCTGGCGAAAACATGAAGGTGCACATCTGCACATGTCATCATGTCATACATGTTGCTTCATTATATATGTTTCATTGATTTCGGCATCATTGGGTTTATGCTTTCATGGCTGTGACCATTGGCTGTGACCATTGCACCCCAAAATCCGCCGGTGATTCTACAGCACCGTCCCTATCCATCCTTAGAGCTCCGCCCATGATGAGGTCAAGCTTTCCATCATCGGACCGGTCCAGTCCAACATGCCGCACCCCGGCCACACCGGTCAACCTTCCCATGGTTTGAAGGGCTGGCTGAACCACGGTGTGGTTGCGACCGATTGGGGGGGGCACTGCCAAAAGAGATGACCTTTAAAGCAGCCGCTATGAAGCACCCCCTATGAAGCAGTCAATCGAGTCTATATAGAGTCGAGTGTTGGTGTAGGAGGACTGGTTCAGCGTCGTCCTCCCGGATTCACTGGCACCCTCCGATCGAAAGGTGGCTCCGGTCGTACCGAACCTGAGAAGTGAAGATGGCAGTCAAAGAGTCAAATTGATTAATGCTGGAAGTGATCTAAAAAACTCAGATTCATAACTATACTATATATATATACATTATACATATGTCAAACTTTGTCTAACCTGATCTATTGGGTAAAAGAAGAAGTGAGACACCCGAGATGAAACAATGGACCCAGGCGCCCAGCCCAGCCCTGTCCGGTGTCCAGTGTGCATGTCATGTCTCTTTTGTTCGCCGCGCGAAAGAAATGGTGGTAGAATCCGATGAAGTTGGCCCTGTACACCTTAAAAAGTGGTTTCACAGCGCCAAAAATAGCAAGAAAAACGAGAAAATGCATGAATACGGTCTGTGTTTGATGGCCGTATTGACTTGTTTTGTAATGTTTTGTACAGGAGATGTCCTTTGGCCAGCTATCGGGTTGAAGATCTGCAGGCCCCTACCAGCATGGTAGGTTCAGAAACCTGCGGTGCTGGAGCTCACTAGAACTCCGTTAAGCCTTGATGAGACTTCCCCGACAGCCCAAAGCCGCCCATGGATGTCTTGATCATTTACGTTTCGGTGATTGTCAACTTCCGGGAAATCCTGAAAAATAGACAGCGGTTCTCTGAAATTCAAGCACCTGAAGCTTGTAAGATTAGCTGGGGAGAACGTCTCAATAACCAGCCTGACTTCCAGCATCCACCAGGCGATATCAACGAATTTACAATAATATAGCTTAGCTACAAGATCTCTAGTCTAGTCCGGGCTCCGAAATTGAACCAACATCACTGGGACATACTTGGGACATGCAGTGACACAGCTCCTGACGATGACGAGAGGGCTGTGAGGTGATACCATGGCGGCACCAAACAGGACTCTCTGATTTCCTGATCTTTTGGACATGGGCAGAGTGAATGAAGATTATTGGTCCCAAAATCTTGGGCATACAGATACATACGGAAGCCTGTCCCACAAGAACCTCAGATGTTTCCTATAGGTGATTGTGGCGATGTTGGATGAAACAACCAATTCCAACTCTTCTATATAGTAATAGCCACAACTAGCTGAACAAGTACACCTGGTTGTGTTCTATTGCATATACGGCATGTCAAATTTGAAACCAAACCCCAAAAAATTGATCTGCAAACATTGAAGTGTCTTTTTAGATCTCCTTCCAGCCGATTGCGTGAATCTGTCAAGTTAGGAGATCTTGAAGGCGAAGATCCGAGCTGAAGATCCCGGAGAATAAATGAACTCCACCTCGAACTACACCATCCATGCGATCAAAAAAAACCACTCGAGGTTAACCAAGCGTTCCTTCTGTGGGATTTTAGTGAGGAAACCCATCCAAAAAACTTGGGCAGGAAGAGAATCGACTTCACCCCATGGCTCCCCCGAGTGCCTTTCGGCGCCAGCGGAGTGCCCGGTGTCACCCAGCGGTTCGTCCAAAAATGATGCCCACCACAAAAAATACAAACAGCAGCTCAACTGGAGGGTGAGTGAGAGATATATGAATATTAATGATTGTACATGTCTAACTTATGCATCTTGTGTCCACATGTGTCCACATGTTCTTTCACATCTCAATGTACATCCATCTCATCAAGGCTGGCCTTGGCGAAACTCACTCAGCCATGGTCATCCGCCGCGGGCATCAGCATTTTCCGCTGGCACAGCTCACAAAAGCGTGCCGAGGCCGCTTTTCTCAGTTGGCTTCCTGGCGAGTTTTCCAGATCTGTTTGGCCGGTCGAGTCGAGCATTCAAAGATTGAGGTCATCCAGCTTCTTCAGTAACTGAAGAACCAGCATCCTTCTTCGATCATGTGTGTACTCCCATGACCAAGGCTGGGGAATCTCTGACCTAGACATAAACATGCCTACTAACATGCCTCCTTTAGTGCTTCAAGAACGGGTGACGATTTGTTTATACTTTTTTTTTGTGTGTTTTAGGATTTTTTTGGCAGCGCTTTCATACAGTGAGTCCGTGGCAGGTACGGCACTTTGAGCACCTTCAGTTGCACATTTTGTGGCAGGCACAGCACTTCGTGAACCTCGAAATGCAGATTTCGTGGCAGGCGCAGCACTGCGTGAACCTTCAAGTGCAGAATTCGCGGCAGGCGCAGCACTTTGTGAACCTGGAAGTGCACTTTTCGTGGCAGGCGCAGAACTTTGTGAACCTCAAAGTGCACCTTTCGTGGCAGGCGCAGCGCTTTGTGAAGTAGGGCTCCAAGTTTGCTTATTAATCCCACCCCCTGAGCAATTCATACTATTCAATTACCCTGTGCTTGTGTACTAGCCACTTGAAAAATTGTTTGGAGCAATGAAATCGTTGAGTTTTAACAAGCGTGTTTGAAACCGACTTTCAGGTCAGAATTCCATGAATCAAGCAAACCTCAGGAGAGTTATGTAAGGATGTTAAAGGGTGAGCAATAGCAGAACAATAGAAAAGCAAACAAACAAACAAAAAACACTGGGTGCAAACACTTTATATATTACTCCGACCCATTAAACTAATCAGGGTGTGTGAATAATGTTGCGAAAACTTGTTTTTTTTGTTCCGTCCCATTATACTAATTTAGATTCAACATTATCTTGATCTATCTTGGGCATATTACATTCCTTGCAACAGTGAAAAAGCCCAAGCCAAAAAAAGCCACGAAAAGCCAAAGCCACCATAAGGCGCCAAAAGCCAAAAGCCACCAAAAGCCAAAAGCCACGAAAAGCCAAAAGCCGCCAAAAGCCAAAAGCCACCAAAAGCCAAAAGCCACAAAAAGCAAAAAGCCGACAAAAGCCAAAAGCCAACAGAAAGCTATCAAACCACCAACGGTGAAAAATAATTCCCAAAAAAGGTGTCAAATAAAAATATGAGTTCCGAACGGGACAAAGTTCACTGCCAGTCTGAGCGCATTGCCAGCTATCCCAACCAACCAGAAAACACCGAGTCGAGTTGCTCTGCCAGGGTCTGCCATTCTGGTTCCAACTCTTCTGGGAACTCTGCTGGCTGGCACCTTCCCATCCAATGGATCGGCGCGGCTCCTTCCGCACCGCACCATCCCACCCACCGTGTGTCGCGTCTGCAGACGAAAGGCGTTCACTGCTCGATGCGCCCAGGTGTCTGGATGCCGTCCTCATAACCTGCGACCGTTGGCCGTTCCGGTAGAACCGCGCAGACCAAGCGGCAAAGGCAGTGTTCCACACCCAAACGCGCGGAAAAGGCGAACGAAAAGCCGAGGCTAGGGCACGTGCTTGGGTTTGGAAGTCGGCCGGGGTTTTGTCTGGATGCGATGCAGAGGTCCCCACGACGTGAAAGACGTGGAGGTGATCATGTCTTTCGGTTTCTTTGGATGGAAGGTGCCTAAGTGATATTGACTTTTGAAGCACTATGGCAAACGAGCTCCTATCAGGGTCTACAGCTACCACCGATGCAGCAGCAAATTTTGGAACCAAGCGGCCACTGAAGGGCTTGGTGGCCATGACGTAGACAGGGAAGCTGATGTAGACCAAACCCATCACAATCATGATGCCATAGCCTTAGTCCAGCCAGCACCGGATTTGTATGTTTGACTGTGAACACTCTGTCTACCAGGCTGACTCCCAACTTTGGTGGGGTCAGGGGCATCTTGTGGGCATCAACCTTCATGACCTAGACAAAGCCTCTGACTTTGAAGTCCGAAAAGCATCGGTCAGTGATCGTGATCGCCCATTATATATGTCAGGAACTGACCTCATTTTATGGGACAGGTCCATCATACCAAAACACTATACGCGAAACCATGAGGTTTTCGATGGGAAACTTGGACCCTTCAAATTGCATTTGAGAGCCAGGATGATGGCAGTTGCATCTGTTGGATCCATGCTGAACTTCTCAACCGTCCCACCACTGGTGACAGCCAGTTCGTTCGAGACGCCAATGATTTCAACCTTGCCAATGTGGCCACGAGGGATGCCCAGCACAGGAGTGACCTTCTTCCAACCCAGGCAGGCATGGACCATGAAGACCGCCACGGAGAAAATGTAGAAGAAGGACCACCTGAGTCTCTGAGTGAGAGTGAGGAGCTTTTTGAAAGTGGATGTTGATGAGTTTTTCGGACCCTAAGCCGTTCTTGATGGATGGAGTGGCTGGTTCTCCCGGTCCATTCCATGAAATTGATGGCCAGAGGAAGGACATGAAAGGATGCTTTGTGATGAGCTGGAGCATCACAATGGAGTCTGAAGAGCTCAGTTCAAGGGACTGAGGTGGACGCAGTTGCGCAGGTGCTGAGCGCCAACCTTTTGTTCTAATACGTTCTTGTCAACAAAAAGGAAGTTGCGCAGGTGCTTGGATAGATTGCATTCATGCATGTATCAAACAACAGCAACTACTGCTGCTGCTGCTGCTGCTGCTGCTGCTGCTGCTGCTGCTACGACTACGACTACGACTACGACTACGACTACTACTACTACTACTACTACTACTACTACTCCTACTCCTACTCCTACTGCTACTGCTACTGCTACTGCTACTGCTACTGCTACTGCTGCTGCTGCTGCTCCTACTACCTACTACCTACTACCTACTACCTACTACCTACTACCTACTACCTACT